AGCAACTGCCCTGGCCTTGACTGTGGGTCACACACACTTGGTACTGCTCTGTAGTCTGATTACTCAGCACAGTCCCTGACGGGGAACACGCCCTCTCCCCCAGGAAGGGCAATTACATGCAGATCTTCTGCCCTCTCCCAGTGAATGGGCGCCCGTGGAGTATCTGGCAACTGTTCTCAGAGTTATTCACTTGGGGTTCTTACCTGGATTTTGTGAGGTTCTTACCTGGATTCTAAGTGAAAATGTGCACCTGTGTGTTAGTCTGGGACAAGGTTCTGTAGGAATTATAGTAATGCTACAGGGAGAGCCCTGCACTCAGTTGCCAAAACGCTGTGTTTCTTTGTTTGAAATCAGATACTTCAGTCCCACCTGCAAGACTCTGTAGGGCTTGACAAGCTCAAGCATAAGTCCAGTCTAATCAGGGGTTTGGGAATTCCTGCATTGTGTTTGTAGCCTGAAATTCTCTCTTCCTGTGACAAGGATAATAACAGTATCTGCCTTTTACCGAACACCTAGTATGTGATTGTGCCATATTAACACTTTCTATTGCCTCATTTAATCCTGACAAGGACCTAATGGGGTAATTGTCATCCTCACATGTAACTGGAAATCTGAGATAGAAATGCAAAAAGTCACAGTATGGAAATTCGCTTGTGGACTCAGATTTCAAACTCAGGTCTGTTTAATGCCAAAGCCGCCAAGTTTTCCATGACCATAGCTTCTTACTAAATAAGTGGTTGCTTTCCAAGCTGGATTTGACTTGGGCAATTGTGATATAGGCTCCTGAGCAGTTTGGCGGAAGGAGAAAATGTGTGGGGAAAAAAGAGAAGAGTGAGTGAGAGCAAGCCAGACAAGCTGAGAGGGGGGCAGAGGGAGGATCTTCCAGGCAGAGGGACTACACTGAGCGAAGAGCAGAGATGAGGGGCAAGGTGGGGATGAGGGTCTGACAGACGCTTAGCCTCTGCAAAGAGATACCATGGAGGGAAGAGGCTTGCTAAGAGTTTGCATTTGGGAAAAAGATCCTCCTGGTGAAGGATGGGGAATGGATTAGAGGAGAACAAGACAGAAGGGGGAGACGAGTTTGCCAGTAGTCAGAAAGATGGGATTACTGGCTCCAGCGGGTATATTAGTGGGGCAATACTAGCTGCTGTGACAAACCCCGACATCTTGGTAGCGAAACAAAATAGAAGTTTATTTCTACTTTATAGACCAGTCCAGCGTGGTGTCCCTGGTCTTCACGGGGCTTTCCTTAGTGTCGTCATCAGCTCAGGCTGCTGTAACAAAATACCACAGACTGGGTGGCTCAAACAACAGACATTTATTTCGCACAGTTCCAGAGGCTGAGAAGTCCGAGATCAAGGTGCTGGCAGATTCGCTTCCTGGTTTGCAGACGATCACCTCACTGTGTACTCATATGGCCTTTCCCGGGTATGAGGGTGTGGAGAGAGAGCTCTCCTGTTTCTTCCTGTTTTCATAATCCCATCACGAGATCTCCACCCTCATGACCTCATCTGAACCCAATTACCCGCCAAAGGCCCTGCTTCCAAATACCATCACACTGAGGGTTAGGGCTTCAACATATAAATTTTGGAGAGACACAAACATTCAGTCCATACCACTTCCCTTGGTGACTCAGGCCCAGGCTCCTGGCACATAGTGGCTCCTCACAGAGCCGGAAGAAAAAGCCCCCTTCCTACAAGGCCCAGCCCAGCAGGGTCACGTGCCACTTCTCCTGTGAGCCTGTCACGTGGTCACACCTGGACACCAGGGGTCCTGTGACATGTGCACCTGATGGGACAGCTACTTCACTTCTCACTATGAGGGGGAAGCATGACTATTTCTGGACAGTGAGCTGCCTCGGCTTCAAGATGAACGGCCATCCCTGAGAGATAGAAATTATAGGCTTTGATGATTGATTGGGGCTGATTGTGAGGCAGAGGGGAGGCAGGAGTCAAAAAGGTGGGAATGAAACTGTTGGCTGGCCCCAAGCCCCCATTGTCCAGACAGCACAGCGCATGGTGAGCTCCCACCCCCTCAAATTCTCTTTTTCCGATCAGCTCACGTTAGGTGTATAGACTTGCATTCTTTCCTTAGGTAAAACCATTCAGGAGAATATACTGCCTTGTGTAGTTCTTTAACATTGGTAATAACTAATATTCAGGGCTTAATGCATAAAAGCCATATGTGGATTATCCCAATTGATGCTGAGGAAGAAGCAGGCACTTTTATTAACCCCATTTGCAGTTGTGAAGATAGAAGTTATGGACAAAAACACTAACCCCCCAAAATATCTACACCCCCATGTTCATCGAGGCATTATTAACAATAACCAAGATATGGAGACAGCCTAAGTGCCCATCACTGGATGAATGGATAAAGAAAATGTGGTACATATACAATGGAATACTACTCAGCCATAAAAAATGAAGTCTTGCCATTTGCAGCAACATGGATGGACCTTGAGGGTATTATGCTGAGTGAGGTAAGTCAGACAGAGGAAGACAGATACAGTGTGCTTACACTCATTTGTGGAATATAAAAAACTCATAAGCAAACAAGCAAACAAAAACAAAGTAAATGAACAAGCCAAACCAAAGCGAAACAAACATGTAGATACGGAGAGCACAGTTGTGGTTACCAGAGGGAAAGGGGCGTGAAAAAGGGGAGAGAAAAATGGGTAAAGGGGGTCAACTGTATGGTGATGGACGGCAACTTAAATTTTTTGTGTTAAGTATACTGTAGTGTATGCAGAGATAGAAATATAATGTTATAAATCAGTGTTACCTGAATTAAAAAATTAGGACACACACACACATGCATGCACACACGCACAAAGATGGAGGTACACAGAAAGGAAATAAGTTGTCTAGGGTCGAAGACCTAGGAAGACCAGATGGGACGTGAGCCCAGGTGGACTGTTTCTAGAGTCTGTGCTCCCAACCAATACAGAATCCTCTGTTTGTGAATTTTGGTTACTTTAATTTTGACAAATGAGGAGATTAAGATCTGGGAGAAAGAGAACTGAGTGTCTAGGTGTCTCCTCCCGTGAGTGGTTCTAGTTTTATGGAATCAGTCCTTTCCTGCGTCTCCTACCCACCCTTGCCTCAGCTCTTAGAGTAGGTGGGACAGCCTGACAGGTCACAGAGCCTGACGGGTGCCCTGTATGAACCCCACTCTTTCCCCGCCCAGTACCCCGATGCCCAGTCTGAGGGAGGTCCCTGTCTGGCATCATCGTGGTCATCCCGCTCTTGCTTTACCCCTCCCTTTCCTCTCTCCTTAGAGACGTAGAGAATCTTTGGAAGGATTTGGAGGACAAATACACTGCACTGATGTGGTCTTTGTTCTAAATATATCAGTTCTGATCTCATCAAATAGTGTTCGGGCTTAGAAGAAGAAAAGAACTCTTTCCCCAGACTTGTCACTTGTGTAGATAAGAACTTTATTTGGCTGCAAGTAGCGGGCCTAAAAAACAGTGACTTAATAAGATGTTATTTGTGTGTCCTGTAAGAGATGGTGCGGGGCAGTCTGGTAGCTCCCCGGCTGTCATCAGTGTTGCAGAGTCTTCTCACTTTCTGCTTTGCTATCCTTGGCTACGCTTCATTCTCAAGGTCAGTTCAGTCCAGTGGCAGCTGGTTCCAAATCCTCCTGCTGGTCGGCAGAGGAGCCTGGCCTGTGGGCTGAAGGCTCACTCTACCAAGGCCACCTGCTCCGACAAAGCTACCCTGTGCCGGGCGAGACCCCTACTCCTGCCTCTGAACGCTCACTATGCGAAGGCCAGGCACCTAGGAGGGGCTCGGAATGCCGGCTTCTTTGCTGCCTGCCTTCCTGGCTCCTGGCCGCTTTCCCCACTGGCATTCTGGGTCCGTACTTGTTTTGTGCTCCCACCCCTGGCCTGTCTACTGACCCAAGCTCCACTCCTGCTGTCCCCACCTTGCAGCCCGGAGCCCAGCACGGCGACCCTGGTGCCTTCTGCTGCCCCTCAGCACCTCCGAAGAGTGAATCGGGTGGGGGTCATGTGTGTGGCCCCTGGAGCCAGCTCACCTGGATTTTCATCGTGGCTTGATGTCCTAGCTCAGTGTCCCCGTGTCTCACTTATTTCATCTGTAAAACGGGGAGGATGATAACAACAGTGCCTCCAGCAGGCTTTTGGAAAGGATTGAGTGAGTTAAGGCATCAGGTTGGCGTTGCCCAGAAGCTTCACCGGGCACATGCCCAGGCGATTCCCTTGCACCATTTAGTATCAGACACATTTGGGGCTCTGAGTTTTAGTTTTCCGGGGACCTCTGATCTCTAAGGGCTGGAGATGGTGACGAAGTGATGGGTGTGGGGGACAGGAGGGAGCGGGGTGTCGTGACTCTGCAATGCTGCAGGAATCTGAGGAGGACTGAAATGCAGCTGGCTTGTCCAGATCCAGAGCGATGCTTTCTTTTTCTCTGAGGATAGAGCAAGCAGAAAGTCAAGGACACGGGGAGTCTGGTGGGAGCCAAGTCAGAGAGGGTCGGGATTACAGACCTAGAGGAGCAGAAGACGCTGGGCCAGGGGAAGGAAGAAGGGCTTAGAAGGAAGGGGCGGGCCATGGAGGTCCTGGGGGCTGGGCTGCCATCCCTTCTTGGGCTTGTTCTCTGGGGTTCCTGGGCACATTGGCAGGCTGACCCTGGGGTACCTGCCTGCCTCACCCTGGACCACTGATTCATCCAGGAAGGTTCTTTTTCCATCTCCCAGTGCTGAGCTTGTAGGGAGCGAAAGAGTCAGGAGCTCCTGCTCTGTGTGCCCCGTCAGCATCTCAGAGTGGGGCCTTCGGCTCCTGTGAGGCACCCAAGGGACCAGGCATGCAACCCACACATGTCTGGGAAACCCTTTCTCCCAGACAGCACGTTTCGAGGAAGGGCGCATGGTGATGGGGCTGGGGCTGGGAGGCATTTTAGAGGAATGACTCAGTGGTAGAGCCTGGAATTCCTGATGAAACAGAATGAAAACACAGCAGACACTGTCAGACAGGATACAATTCAACATCCCAGCAGTTCTTTTAGCACTCAGATTAAATGGAACCCTTCCAAACAGAACAGCCATGGGTGGGATAATACAATCCAGTAGCCGAACGCACGATGCTGGTCCTGACCTCCCATCCACGGCATGGGAGGAGTCGTGGTGGCGATGCTGTTTTCCAGAAACGTGGCATCTGATCTGGGCACAGCCATTCCTAGGGCTTCTGTGTGGTGATGGTCTTTGGCAGAAGCCCCTCAGTGTGACCCTGGCGTGTTCCTTGGTCCGCATTCATATAAGGGATCCCGGTGGGGGTGAATGATGCTTTGGGGATTTGTCCTCATTTTTCCTGCTGAGCACTAGGTTGAGGAATGGGGAATGTGGGCCAGATTGCTGGAGACTCCAAGGTGAGTCCAGGCCTGGGACACTTTCTAGAATCGTGTCGTCCCCAAACTGCCCTCCGCCAGGACACGCGTGGTACAGCATCAGCCTGGGCCCTCCTCCCTCAGCTGCGCCTACTCGATAAGCTTGTGGGGAGAGGAAATGACACCCTGGAAGTGTGGATTCCCAGTGAGCCAGCTGGGCGTCCTCCCCATTTGCTCCCATGTAAGAAAGCATCAGGGAATGTGAGAGTGACATTTTAGGGCTGATGTGGAATCTGCGTTCACGTCGGAGAAATGGAAACCCTCTGTAAGCCCGGTCACTTGAGGCACTGGGACCACAATTAGTGACACAGTACTTGCAACGTCCCCCATGATTGGTCCTGACTGCCTGTGTGCAGGGGACAGGTGGGCTAGAGGACCTGGCCACGCTGTCTGAATGAGAGACACGGTCATTCTGGGTGAAGCTCCCCAAACTCTGGCTCCTTAGGTGGGTGGGGCAGGGGGGTGTCCCCATGTCACGGGTACCTGCCTCCATGGAGTTTCCCATGATGCAGAGGGAACAAGGTGGGGTTCTGACTTTGCATACGGAACCACCATGAAGGATGGAGATACCTGGAGGCCTGATGGAGAGAGAGAGAGAAAGAGAGACGGCCGGGTGGCGGGGGGAGAAGGAGGGAAAGAGAGAAAGGTTGTCATGGTGACATAGTGATGGGATGGGCTCACGGGCAGAAGGCCGAGGAAACCTTCCCCTCATTATCAGATGCTGTCCGCTGGGCCTCAGACCTAGGGCAGCGTGGCTTTCTTGCAGGTACCCTCCTGGTCTGTCACCTAAGGGCCTCCGGATGCCGCAGAAAACCCCAGATTTGGGGAGCACTTAACCATACGGGTGCTCTCTGCGTGGTGGGCCCCTGGAATCTCCCACAGACCCAGGAGGTCTGTAGTCTTTGCCACAGACCCAGGAGGCCCCTCGATGAGCCCCGAGAAGCCGCACTAAGGCACTTGGGGAAGCAGGGGGTGGCAGGCCGAGACAGGGGCTCAGGTGACCATTCGGGAGGTTAGGGAGCTTGCTATGCTGTTTCCTACCTGTATCCCGCTCCTCTCCCACCCCAGCTCTGCACACACCATTCCCGCCTAGAGTGCCTTTCTTTGCCCTCGTCGCCAGCTCTCCTCTTCCCTTTGGTTCTGTGTGGATGGCACAGCCTCCAGCACGCCCTCTGTCCTCTCCCAGGGTTGGGGCAGATGTCCCCTCCGCGTTCCTGCCCCCATCCTCGTTTCCCCAGAAAGTACTCATCCCGGGGTGTTCTGGCCGCCTGGTGCTCTGGCTGTCTCTCACTTTATACAGAAGATGAGCCCAGGGACCATCTGTCTTGCTCTCGCCCCGGGGCCTGGCCCAGAGCAGGGCCCTCACTGAAGGTTTAAATGCATGTTGGTGAGTGGGGGCAGGGAGAGCAGAAGTTGGGATTTTCTAAAGAAAATTCCATCGCTGGAAACCTACAGACACTCAGATGTGGAATTCAAGCTTCTTGGTTTTGATTCTTTACGGGGGAGAAGGAGAGAAAAATCTTATAGCAACCTTCTCCACCTGGCTGTTCTAGAGTCATGGGGTGGGGGAAAGAGGGAGTTAGGGCAACACACGCTTGTCCTTGGCTAAGTGTCAAGTTCAGAGGGAAGAGTAGTCACGGAGAAGGAGTTAGAAGGTCAGGGGAGTCTGTGACACCTGCTAGCGCACCCCACTGCCTCTGGTATAAATTCTATACAACTAAGGGTTAAATTTCTTCACTGGCTGACTCCCAGGGCCATTTCTAGGGGAAATGTGCCTTCCTGGAAAGTCCTTCCCCGGCCACCTTTCACTGCTCACTCTTTGGAATGTTTGATACTTGTGACTTGTCCGATCTCTTGAAATGCAAGCCAGCATCTTGCCCACAGAGAGATCTGGGGTGGGCAGACCCAATGGTCAGAACGTCCCTTCCCTCTGCGAAGGACCTCCGTTGGTCAGCTTGGGTTCTAGAAGGAAGCAAATGCAGAATCCAGTTCAGGCACTCAGATATGTAAACAGGAGGTTCTTCTTGGGGCATGGCCCACCTCAAGGAATTTCCCAACATGCACAGCACTTGGCAGAGAGCGTTAGATGAGTGACACCTGGATGCACAGGCTGGGACGAGAGCCATGAAAAGCGATGGCCACGGCCAGGATCTGAGGGAACGTCAGTGATAACAGAGAGACCAAATGAGATCATCCCGCGGTACCTCCCAGCTGCATGGAGGGCGCAGCCCCGGCTCGCTCTTTCCCACGGGACCCAGGAGAGGGTTTGCCTGCATCAGTTTTACGGAAGACTCCACCTCTCAAGGGGCCGGGGATGTTGGATGTTGGTCATCACATCTTCTCCTGGTCGAGGTGGCAGGGTGGTGGGGAGGACAGAGGGCGAGACCGTCATCAGCGATTCAGGAAGAAGGACTTGAGGCTCTGGAAGAAAACTGACTTCTGTCTCTGCTTCTGTTTCTTTTTGATGATGGGCACCCACACCAGCCCGCATACCAGCATCATGAGTCCCAGAGACAGGAAGGCGGGCCCTATCATCTTAAGGACCTTGAGGCTCTTGTCACCCAGGTTCAGGGTGTAGGCCAAGCAGGTGATGACCACACCGAATAGGAGGATTGCACCGCCCACGGACATGATGACGATGGGCTTGCGGTAGATTTCCCAGTTACTCCGGGGGGTGGTGGTCCAGACAGACTCACTTCTGGAGCTGATGCACAGGGAGCTGGCGGTCTGGCTGGGCAGCAGGTCCTTGGATTCTGGAGACTTCTCGTTGACCTCCACGTCCTTGGGGAGAGCCTCCATGGTCACGGCTCCCGGGACCGGGCACCTGGTACCAGCACCGGTTAGAAGCAAGGACGAGGCCGGGGGAATCCTTGCACAGCCTTCCTGTTCTCAGCATCTGTCTCCAGCCTGGCTCTTAGTGGAGGGCAGTGCAGCGTTTTTGTGCTGAAGCTAAAAGAAAAGCAGACGAGATCCACATAAATAAGAAGCCACTCAAGGTGGTGTTCTTTTTCCTTGTGAGAGATAAATATTATATCACTCTGATAACTGCTCTTGTTATTTAAAGCAGGGAACAGTGGTGGCCTTTAAGAAAACGGGCAAAAGCTACAGTTTATGAAGCGGCATCTTATTTTCAGACCCAGCCGCTTTCTTGCTGTGTGGTCTTGAGTGAGTTACGGCCTTGGTCCTTGGCTTCCCCTCCAGTCCCTCCTCCCGGGGCCCCAGGTTCTTCCTCTTCTTTGTGGTCTGGCCAGCTCAGGCCCCGCTCAAACAGCATTTACTACTATCCCTCTTTGGGAGCGGGATGGGAGGGGTTTCTTTCCACAGCAGCAAGTTTCCTGGGAAGGTGGGCTACTCAATCCCAGTCACAGTGGGTTCCAGACGGGGTGAGAGGTGGGAGGGGTTGCATTCGGAAACCAGGGTATCAGGATAAAGGAGATGGTGTGTGAAGCTGGTGGCTCCCAAGCCCAGCACTTGAACCTGCTGCTTCCCCTCTATCAAGACACCTCTAAATGTGGAAGGGTCCTGTAGTGAGCACACTCTCCTTCCACACTTCCTGCAATGCTCAGTTCCAAGTAATTTCCTCAACTCACCCCTCACAGCAGCTCAGGCCTGGACCACTGGGCCAGTGCTCCCACTTTGCCGAACAAGACCCCTTCCCTGCATCCCAGGGGGAATAGGAATTGTAGAATTGCCACGCCTTCAGAATGTGGATATTCACATTCGTGTGTGCTCCTCTGGAGAGAGGATATTGGGATCTCTGCTTCCGAAGACTTTGGAAAATACGACAACGGACTTTTATAAGTAGGGGCTCACAGGTGTCCCGCTGCTGCCCTGTGGGTCCCGAGGAGTATTTGCATAAGTGACGTCAACACTCTTAAAGTGATCTCTCCTTTTCGCCTGCGGGCTCGGTGGGGAGAGCAGGGCTTACGAGGCATGTGGTGAAATCCTAGCCGGGGAGCTGGCGTTGGTTACTGCAACCTGGTTTCTCCTGTGGGGTTCTGACGTCTTTGGTAGGATGGTCTCTCCAGGTGGCCCTTTCCCCACTTGGCAGCAAATCCCAGGGCAGAAGCGCCTGCTGCCTGCAGATGTTCGGGTGTTGTGTTGGAGGAGTATTAACGGGAAGGCACGAGTCTCAGCTGTGCCCGAGGATCGCCGGGCTGGGTGGGGAAGGACCAGCTCCCGGGAGAGCTGCCACTGGGGTGCGAGGCAGCCACGGCAGATGCAGGGAGGACGGCTTCTTGGGTGCTGAGTGAGAGGTGCGGCCAACTGCGCCTTGCTGGCCGCACCTAGCGCACGCTCTTTGGCCCCGCCAGGAGGTCGCATGTTTATTCCCCTCTTAGGAGGGCAGAGGCTGAGGCCCAGTGAGATTTAGGATCGTGGCCCAAGCCTCCCCCCAACTTCATAGGTGGCTGTGTTGGGATCCAGGCCAAGGTTTTTGGACTCAAAGCTCATTGTACTAGACCGAGCTGGTCAGAATGATCCCTGAGGGTCCTTCCACCATGACAAGGCCTGAGTTTTTCACTTCAGGGCTGCATCCTGCAGTAGAGTAACCTCTCACTGAGTAAGGACTGACAGAGACAAGTAGTTGTATAGGGAATCACTCTGCAACGGAGAGAGAACACTGATGTTAAGTTTTTCATAATGGTCCATTTATTTATTTAAAGAACTATTTTTACTCTGAGATTATGTCCTTCCTTCTTTTATTTTGGCATTGGAATATTCATTTCATGAAACGACTGTGAGCGAAGATGATCATTGGTTTTGTTGGTATCTGTACTGGCCAAGATCAGAAGTCAGTCATCCTGTGTAGATGTCTATCTACTTTATCTGTCACCTATCTATCATCTATCTATCTATCTATCTATCATCTATCTATCTATCATCTATCTATCTATCATCTATCTATCTATCAATCTATGTAAATTGTAATACCTTACGAAATCCCAAAGAATGGGAACCTTTCATTTAGTGGCCTTACTTAGGAAGAGGGCGGGTCCTTGGGACAGTGAATGGTCGGGGGGTTCATCTTCCGGGCAGTGACTGGAGGAGAGCACTTCTCCTCCCTTGAACAAGGCTGAGCTCCGTGCCTTCTCCCCCCACCCCCGCCCCTACCAGGCAGGAGGTGGCAGCAATTCTAAACACAAGGGGCAGGCGGGGTTGGCTGTGGGGTGAACGCCATGCTGGGTTCCTTCACGGTTGCAGCACGTCACTGAGCTTACTTGCAGGGTCTGGTGTGACAGAAAGATCCAGGTCTCTGACAGCAGAGGGACCGCTGTCTGAACCCACCTGAGACTCCCTAGTCACATATATAGAATAAGGATAACGGCATGTCTGCCTCATAGGGCAGCGGCGACTGTCAGGTTTCACAAGACCCCACTTCATTGTGTGATATGTTACAGGAGTTTAAGACATGACCCTGGTTGCTATTATTATTGCAATAGTTATTTTCTTTCTCGGTCCCTGTTTTCTCATCTGTACAATAAAGAAGTTAGGCTGAGGGACTTCTAAAACTATTTTGTATAGGTCCATAGGTTGGTGAATCAAACTCAAATTCTGAGAACCCAGGTTTCCTGAAAATCACCATCTCAGGGGCAGTACGAGTTTTTTAACATTTTATTAAAGTCCTAAAAGATCCGATTTCTTTTTCTGATACCAGGGTTTCTCAACAGTGGCACTATTGACGTTTGGGAGCCAATAATTTTTTGCTGCGGGGGCTGTTCTGAGCATTGTGGGATACTTAGTAATATCCCTGGCCTCTATCCACCAGATGCCAGTAGCAAACCCCTCCAGTCATGACAGTCAGAAATGTCTCTAGACCTTGCCAAGCGCCTCCTGGGGGCAGGGTCAACCTGGTGGAGAAACTCTGCTCCTAGTTTGCAGACTGCCTCAGGGCCTCTGCTGGTTTATACGCCTCCTCTACCCAGCCTCCCCCCTCCACCGGCACTCAGCAGGTGCTCAAAGGGCTTGGGCCTGATGCTGCAGTCCTGTGGGGTGGGGAGCATGTAACCCCTGGGGAGCTGGTTCAGTGAGAAGAAGCACACTTCCAGGTCCTCAGTTCCTGCGGGTTTGGTTTGTCTGTCTCAGAGGATCCCTCACTTCCCGCAGTGGGTGGACTTGTCCACTCAGACCCTCAGAAAGTAACCTTCTTTGGAATAAGAGTCTTCGCAGCTGTAATTAAGGGAAGGATCTCCAGGCGAGCTCATCCTCAAACAGACAAGTCCAAGAACCTGCGTCCTTGTAGAGAAAGGAGAGGAAATGTGACACACAGCGGGGAGGCCACGTGAAGATGGAGGCCGATGGTGAAGTGATGCCTCTACAGGACAAGGGCGCACGGCGGGAGAGAGGATGGGACGGACTCTCCTCAGAGCCTCTGGAAGGAGCAACTCAGAGGACACCTTGATTTTTTCCCTTGTGACCGAACAAACTTCCATTGTTTTCAGTGGCTACGTTTGTGGTGCTTTGTTATGGAAACCCTAAAACAGGAACACACTCACTGTCGGTTAATGTCCCCACACCTCGGAGGTGGCCGAGGACCGAGGGCCCAAGGGGCTGAGCTGAGAAGAGCCAGCGGAAGGCCCGAGGCTCGGGCCTCCTGGACTAAACGCAGATTTGCCTGTCGGCTCAGCCCCCAGGGCAGCAACTTGAGAAGGGAGATTGGATCCTTCTCCCCCGCTCTGGAGGCCGCGTCTGGGGTGTCAGGAAGCAGAGGTAGTGGGTAGAGACGTATTTGTAGCACAGAACTAGCGACAGACAGGCCACAGGCTGGTGTGGTGAGGGGGCACTGGTCTGGGGCTACACAGCATGAGGAGTAAAGAATGAACCTCACGCCTGTCCATGCAGGACCCCAAACATTGACGCTGAGCAAGAGAGGCCAGACACCTCTTCCATTTACAGAAAGTTCAAAAACATGTAAGACCATCTACACCATTAGAGGTTAGGACAGTGGTTACCTTCAGTGGGGATGGTGGCTGGAAGGGGGACACGATGGAGACTTTTGGGGTACCATCGTGCTCTGACTCTCGATCTGGCTACAGCCAATTACATGGGTGTGTACCATTTGAGCTGTACACCGTGATATGACCGCTGGAGGAAATTTTAAAATATAACTAAATGCAATATGTTCATTATTTGGATTCTGACTAGAAGAAACCAATTGTACATTTCGAGATAATTTTAGGGAAGTTTGAATCTGGATTGGATATTAGACGACGCTAAGGATTTAAAATTTGTATTATGATGACGATATTGCGGACACAGAAGAAAGCGTCTTTATAGATATGGAGATAATCTTGAAACCACGTACAGAGACGAATTGTCATGATGCCGTGATTCACATGGAAGCATCAAACTCCAACTCAAATATGACAAAATGTTAAAGGTTATAAAATCCGGGTGACGGATACATGGAAGTTCATTATATTATGATCTCTACTTTTATGTATGTTTGCAGATGTTTGTAACAAATGAGACACTGAATATACAGATGGACGGTGACCAGACATGTATAAGAACAGAACTCTGACCCACAACCTGCAGCAACCAGCCCAGGAAGCCACCCCGTTATCTACAATAACTGGCACAGGGAGCCAGACTACAATCTGTAAGTAAGACTTTCAGGAAGTCAGAACGCCTTCCCTAGTAACCAGCCCCACAGGCCAAACAGTAACTGAGGACAACTGCTTTTTGACAAATACACCAAAACAGTTGCATGGGGAAAAGAAAGTCATTTCAACAGATGGTGCTGGAATAACTGAATATTTATATGGAAAAAAATGAAACTTGTCTTCACCTCGTACCATCAACAAAAAATGAATTCGAGATGGATCATGGACATAACCTGAACATAAAAGCTAAAACCATAAAGTTTTAGGACAAAATATAGGAGGATATCTTTGTGGCCTGGAGGTTGGCAAAATTTCTTAGGACAGAGAAGGCAATAACCGAGGAAGAAAAAGAAAATCAATAAATTAGATTTCATAATAATTTAAAACTCCTGCCTCATTAAAAGCTACTGGGAAGAAAATGAATAGGCAAGCTATGGACTGGGAGAAAATTTTAGCAAAATACATATTTGTCAAAAGATTTGCATCTGAAATACATGTGATTAGTAACACAAACAGCCCAATTTTAAAAATGGGCAAGTGATTTGGACGGACCCTTTACAAAGGAAGACAAATAGATGAAGAAGAAACCCATGCAAAAGGGCTTGAGATTGACATTCGACAGGAAATACAAACTAAAACCACAAGGAGATACAGCCACACACTCACTAGAATGGCTAAAATTTAAACATCTCACAATACAAATGTTGGTGAGAGTGGGGAACAGCTGGAGCTCTTGTGTACTGCTGGTAGGAACGTAATATGGTACAGCCGCTTTGGAGCAAGGTCCGGTAGTTTCTTACAAAGTGAAACATACGCCTTCCCTTTGAACCAGCAATCCCACTCCTAGATATTTCTTTGTCCAAGATAAATGAAAACCTATGTCCACCAAAGACTTGTTTAAGAATATTCATAGCAGCTTTGTTCATAATAGCCCAAACCACAAAACAACCCAACGTCCATGAACAGGAGAAAAGGTGAACACATCTTGTATATTCACACAATGGAATACTACTAAACAATAAAAAGGAACAGACTTCTGATACACACACAGCATGGATGAGTCTCATGGACATGATGGGTGAAGGAAGTCAGATATAAATGAGTACATGTAGTGTATGTTTCCATTTATATGACATTCTAGAACCTTCTAGGAACTAAGCTAAGGTGACACATCTCAAAACAGTGGTTGTAGGGGTGGGGAGGAACTAACTGGGACCTTCTGGGGTCGATGGAAATGTTCTATCTCTTGATATCGGTGTGGGTTACATGGGGGACCCATTTTTCAATATAGTACACTAAGATTTGTGCATTGTGATGTGTGTAAATTATACCCTGCAAAAAAAGAACTGTAAAAATCGTAATAATGATAATAAAGGGGGTCAGGCTGGGGAGCAGGTGAAAGTATAGTTAAACCAAGAATAGCAGAATGTTGATAATGGTTGAAGTCATATGATGGAACTTGGGGATCCAGGGTAGAGGTGAGGGCAGGAAACACATTACCCCGGAAAAGGAAAGTAGGGACATGGGCAGGGGCAGAATGACCCCAGAATAGGGCAGAGATGTTAAAGGGAAATCTGTGAGGTGAGAGAGTCACCTGGCCCTTATGGGAAACACCATGTGCTGATTCTGAGGAAGAGGAGATCCTGAAAGAAAGAGAAGGTGCTTCTTTGAGAAATTGGGATTTGGGGACAGAAGATGGAGATGGAGGAAGACGTGGAGATGGAGGTGGAGATGGAGATGGTTATGAGAGATTGAGGTAGAGGTGAAGATGAGAGATAGAGAGGGAGATGAAGTTGGAGGTGGAGATGAAGATGGAAGTGGCGGTGGAGATGAAGATGGAGGTGGAGA